CGTTATACGAACAAGCATTTTTCTTATTCCCTGACATCGGGGTTTTGAGTTCAATCTCTGTCAGGGGAGATAATGGATATTCTCTCTATATATAAAAAGCCATGCACTATTTCGGCGAAGTATCTTTCGCTCTATAAATCATTGTTTTGAACAATAATAAAAATCAATTGTACACTATGCAAAAATAGCTGGGTACTGAATATAAAGAATAACTTACAGGCACCATAATAATAGCAAATACAACCTATCATTGGATCATATTTTGAATGACATATTTTATGCCAATTGTTTTAAAATCTGACTCCGCATTACTCCGTCTACCTGATCAATATACAGGGCTCACGGCGGGTGTGACCGGTTCGGCACGAGATATACTCATAGACATCTGATGCCACCTCTAGAATTTTTCTATTGTTTGTAGGTTTATTCATTTTTCTTCACCTTTCTCATTGATAATCTCCCTTTGATATTGATGTAACTACAGTTAAATCATCATTGTTCGTTGGGGGATCAATTTCCTTTGGTCACCTTTAAACATGAATTTACATGTCCATGAACGATAACTCGGTTCACTGAATTTCCTGTAATAAAAACTCGTTCCAAAATTACACCCCGACGAACAGGAAAAAATTTGATTGCCCACGAACATCGAACCATTTATATTAAATTGATACAACATTATTTTGATTGTCTTCTAACATCTCTAAGAATCTCTAACAATAGTTTTGTCGAGGCTTTTTGACATCATTGACAGGTGCGTTTTCAATAAAAATGGAACTCGTAAATTTACTTACCTTGTCATTGGTCGTTTGCAAAATTATTTTGTTAAAAAACATTCTGATTGTACACACAAGTACTCTGAAGTTGATTTTAAGAAGATACGAGTGTCTGATTGAGAATATCTCTGTGGCTTTTGGAGACCAGGTCTTCCAACAATCTGTAAGATTTCCCATGGGTACCAATTGCGCCCCGTTGTTAGCAAACCTATTTTTGTATTCATATGAAGCAGAATTTATTCAAAATCATATACATGAAAAAAGGAAATCCTTGCTGTGGCTTTCAACTCGACATTTAGATATATCGACGACGTATTATCAATTAACAATAGTTATTTCCATGCATATGTCGACACGATATATCCCAGTGAGCATGAAAAGATACCAGAGATTCTGACACATCTGTTTCATATTTGGATATTTTACTAGAAAAAGACGTTAATGGTAATCTAACAACAAAGCTTTATGACAAAACGTGATGACTTTACTTTTCAATCGTCAATTTCCCTTACTTATGCAGCAATATACCCCTATCACCTGCATGTCGGGTGTATATATCTCAGTTGATTCGATACGCAAGAGCACGCTCTACGTATGAAAAATTTCTAAAACGAGATAAGTTATTGACAAACAAGTTGATGAAACAAGAATATCAACAGTCTCATTTAAAGTCATCACTTCGTAAGTTCTATGGTCGACACAACGATCTTGTCAGCAAATACAATCTATCATTAAGTCATATGCTGACTGACGTTTTTCATATCAATTGTAAGGCCATTATTTACACACTGAATTCTCTACGGATTTTCCCGTTATTTACCGATCATGACAAGGGGCACACGGCGGGTATGACCGGTCGGTCGGCAGGGAATGCTCACTCCTCCATGGCACATGATCCCACCTCTGATGTTTTTGGAGGTTTGCTCTGCTCCCGATTTGTATTGTTTAACTGGACTTTGAGAACTTGAATACCGTTCGTTATATTACATCACTACAAGTCTGTTACAATTGTTCAGTTTTAACTTGTGCTAAATTGATATTTGCTGGCATTTCTGGTTATTTTGATTCGATTGATTCAACATTTTTCTAAGCAATGCCAAGTCTGCCATAACTTTCATACCTCTAAAGTCGCTACTTTAGTTTATTAATTTTGTTTCTAATCGTTTAAACTACGTTTATTGTTATTTGATATTGCGACAGGTGCCCGATTACTATACTCAATAAAATATCGTTAAAACATGTGATCTCTTAAAGAAATATCCGAGTTTCTGAGATACAGAAACTGATAAGGCCCGTGTAATTTCCGCTGTCCAACTAATCTCACAATCCTGTACATAATATGAAATAATAATGTGCATAATTTAAAAAGCACACTTTTTTATATTTTCATTTGAAATAAAAATGATTTGGAAGGTCAGTAAACTTTCAGACGTCTATTCTGTCGCGCACGGCGTTGACGGACTGATAGATTTACCGGAATTTTCTGTATCACAGTATCGGACAATGAGATCCTCCACAAGGTGTACTTTGATCCCTGGCTTTATTCTTCTCTATGTATTCTGTTTCGGAAACTCCGATATCAGTACACCAGGTAAGAATTTACTTATTTTTTTTCTCTCCCGGAATGAGCTGATCAAGCGTGGCGTTAAGTTTATCATGATTTTATTCTTTCTTTTTTGACAAGAAAACTTCAGACCGTATATTTAAGACTGAGCACAGATGCCCCCCGTTTTTTCTTTGTGATTTTCTATGATTATATTACTAAACTCTGATTTGTTATGATGTTTCAGTAGCTTACTTTACTATTATTATTCTTACGTCACCCACGTGGATAATGGAGTATGAGCTAGGGATGCAAGGAATAATCGCCAATGTAATGTTTGGCTTACAAACTTCATAGAAAGGGGTTGAAAACTGCATATATTTCATCCATTTACACACTACAGAATGGTCAGGTGTAACCTTACCTGTTGTCAGTTCATGTCCCTTTCGTTCAAAATCACCTTTAGTAAATGATGATCTTTTGTTTAATACCTTCATCAGTGGGTCTAAATGATATTATGTTGTTTTATATTTCTAAAGTATTTTGTGAAAAAAGAGAAAAAGATAAACCGCGTAATTTTTATTACTAATGTAATTACAAAGAAACTGTTTTTTTATTGGTAGGTTCACATCCTGGTAAGTATCGATTCCGTCAGTTTGGTCACTGAGATCGCTGAATTTGTAGTTACATTAGTTATTCTATGATTGTTTCTTTTGTCTCCTCTCCCCTTACCACCACTACCCTTTACTTTAGTAAGTTTTTATTCATTGTTTTTCCCCCATTTTCATGCTACTGTAATATATTTTTTAGCAAGACCCTTATTTGGCAGTTTTCCAGTTACATGATTTTTTTTTATTATTCAAAGACCTCAATTCCAGTTCATATTTCAAACGTAAAGATCCGTGTAGCTGTTGATCAAAATATTTTGATGCCAAAAAGAATCTAAAGCTAAACAAAGATCAGGCTCATAGTAGCCATTTACATGTAGCTACCCTTTTTCAGACATTTTAAATTTGAAACTACTAGTAAGAATAATTTGCTTTGCACATTTGCTTATTGTTTCAAAATTAGTGAAACATGAAAGTCTAGGTTATTATAGCTATTTAGATAATCTAGCTTATGTGCAAGCTTGCAGCATTCAAGAACACATTGGAGCCACAAAGGTGAGAAACATCATACGTCACACAATCGTCGTCCCCCAATATGACCCATATTTGACCTTGTCTTTTGACCTTAAATTCATATCAATAGTTTTTCAACTACAGAAGAATGTATAATGTACCATTATTCGACAGCGACCCTCACATTTGACACTGGAGTCAAAATAAAAGTTTTCTTTTTAGAGGGGTGGGGTGGATACATTTGACTAGAATACACCTTACTTATCTTCTAATCTTAAATTATGGTATTTGAAATGTTGAGGTTTAATTTTAATGCATGTATAATGACTCAAAAATGACCTTGACATTTAACCTTAAATTAAAATGACCCACAAATGACATTGTCGTTTACCTTCGAATTAAAATTTGAATTTTTGTCAGCAAAAACTTCTGTTCATATTTTGTAGACTCGTGATGAATTATCTGTGAGTTTCATCATAAAAAAATGTTACGTGCCAACAGTTACTTCCATATAACTTTTGTCCTTTAAATAAATAAAAAGGGGAGACAAATGGTTTATAGTAAACTTAAACAACATTTCTAGTTGGGGTTAATTGCCTTCGATGAACATCTCTATGAGAAAACTGATTTTCTAGTCTCAAATATTAATTAATTCTCTGCAGTAATATTCCTTTCACCCAGGTTATTTCAAAGACCAGGAGGGAGATATTGCTTTTGGTATGTCCGTCTATTTATCTGTTTCCATCTCAGTTTGTAACTTGAAAGGTATGTAAGTTGTGAACACTTGTGTGAGATTAAGTTAAGGAAATGGTGAAAACTCTTATTATAAAGAGAATCTATTTCAAGAGACGTAATTCAAGGTCATTTGGAATATTTCAAAACGTGTCGTCCGAAATAAAACATGGCTACGATAGGGTATTCGATCATGCTGAGTAGTTCAGTTGAATTATATTCTAGTTTATTACATTTTCAAAAGTGAAATACTGTGATTTATTTATTGAATAAAAGTGATATTCTCTCACAGTGTGAAAGGATATCAAAGTGATATTCTCTCACAGAGTGAAAGGATATCAAAGTACTAAGTAAAAATAATTTCTGGTCTGTCATAAGATAGAGATAGTAACTATCCATCTTAATAGAGCTAAAACTGCCAATTTCTTCCCAAATATGTTGCTAAAATCCATGCTATGTAATGTTTTCAATCTCACAACTACCAAGCTATGACGTCTCAACCGCTCAACTATGACGTCAAGCCTATGACACTGTGTTAAGATAAGACAGAGGCTAAGGGAAAATCAAAGAAAATATAATAAACAGAAAATTCAATGATTTGTAGATGAATATGGAATTTATTTCACTCGTGAGACAGGATTTTTTGATATTTCCACTCGTGCTTCGCACTCGTGAAAATATCAAAAAATCCTGTCCCACTCGTGAAATAAATTCCATATTCATCTACAAAACATTGAATATCCTCTATTTATTCTTTTCATCATTAAGGTAACGCTGCGTATATTTCTCTTTCTAGTCTCTCGCTCATCGTCTATCGAAGTGGAGGTGATGAATTATACGGGGCTCCCTCTACCGGCGCCCATAGGTCAAAATATCACCTTGAAACTTAAAGTGACAGGTTACCTGCCTTCTGAGTGGAAGAATGTGACGTGCAGGTGGGAGATACTGGGTAGCACCACAGAGTGTTATAGAGTTCCAGATGAAACAGGAGAATTCATAATAGACGTGATGTCGAAAACTTCATTGAACCAAACTCCCGGTGTATATTTGCTTTCAGTATACGTCAATTTGGGACAGAAGTCGAAAAATAGAGCCATTCTTATTCGTTTCGAACACGTAAATGATCATGAAAAGGTTTGTAAAATGCAAAGAGAGAAATTCCTCTTGGTTTTATTTTTTTAAAGTGACAGTACGGCGCATCTCATCAAAAAACTGACTAGACAAAATTTTCCGACAAGATTTGGAATTTTTTTACTACTCATAAATGTATAAACTTTCAGAAAATTACAACTTTTACAATTAAATGATTTGGATTATTTCATTAAAATTAATAGTTATTTATGGGACGTAAATATATACATCGCAACGTGTTCGGGGTTCCACATTCCATGCTATGCACGCATGCGTAGTTTCATAAACAAAACAGCATGGTTAGAGAGGGAATCCCGGTAGGCCTGCTACATTGACAAAGTCGACCAAAAAGAAAAAGAAACTGAAAATAGAACTTGAAAAAGCAACTTTCCTGACTAAAATTTAGTTTGGGGATTAATAAAATCGCTGGATAAGGAAGAAACGGGAACTCGGCGACACTCACGCAGGGCTCTCGAAGGTTCTATTCGACAGGTTTGTTGATACTAGTTATCATTTCTCATTTTTCCGTCGCTTTCAAAGAAAAAAATAGTGTAAACTCAACATAAAAAATACATTTTTGACTTATAAACATTGTTGCCATTTGAAATGCTAATTTTTTTTAACTGTGCAGAAAAATACTTAGTTTGACATTTGGCGCGATAACGTATGAATAGTTGGTTTTTCCTTTCTCGGACCCCAATACACAAAACGTAAACATTTGTACTTTTAATTCTGTTAAATTCGCCTGAATGCAGACTAAAATCTTTACTATTATTATTTTAGATTATTTTATCAGAAAGTTATGATAATTTGTGTTTTTGAAAATTGCTTTCACCTAATATTCATTACAACTGTAAACTCTACAGTGTAGGCACGTGCCGTTTTAGAATTCACGTGGTACAAATAAACAGATCTAAGATTGCTCCAGTTCGTACGACCCTTGATTTTCCGGCAGATTCTAATTACGTTAATTTTGTTTGAGTAGAGAATATTTCTGTTTCTCAAACTGCTTACATCAACTTTATACCTTATTTCTTAATGATATATTGGGTAAATTTGGATGAAAAAGCACACATTTTGGAGCCGTACTGTCGCTTTAAATTAAATCTTTGCACAACTTTATAATTATAAACTTTTGTAAGTATACAAAACAAATAAAAAGTTCTGTGTCAATTTCAGTGACAGAAAATATGGTATACAATATGAGACACAAAAAATTAACCAAATGTAATATACCATAATGTACATGTAAAAACTTGAGGCAAATCATTGTTTAAATGAATATTTATAAATGAAACAGAGATCAAAAGCTATTAGAGTTATCTCTCTTTATCAGAGGGACATACGTCCTTAATTATGAAATCTATAAATAAGATACATGTATATCCGAGACGAAGTTTAGCACTTATTGTATCCTCTAAGGTAAGTTACAAAATTAAGAGATTCGTCACACACGTGTGCAACCTGCAAGATAATTTATCTATTCCCGAGAACTAAGATAAAGATACAACTTCTATTTGGGATAAAGTTTGTGATGAGTCAGTTACACTGCTTTTGTTTGTTCAACATCCATTCGAGATTTTTCACTCATATTGAGACGCCACCGCTTGGTGGTGAAGGGCTGCAGGAGGCAAATTTAGACCTGTACTCGGCACTTAATGTTTTGTCCTTGAGCAGTGAAAGATCTTTTTCATGCTAGTACCTACTGCGACACGGAATCTCAGTTTATACGGTCTCATTCAAAGGACCGGTCTCCAGCAGATATATCAACAAGAAGGTACACAGGTATACAGGTATACAAATATTCACGATTGTAGTAAATATTTTATCATTTGGCACATCATTCACGTTTTACTGTGATGGTGCATTGTATTTAGTGTACTGAAATAAATCTTGGTATAATATATCAGATACTCTGAAATTGTCTTTCAGGAGTTACCAAAATTCCAGGTTGTGAAAGGGGTAACAAAGTTCAATGCTTCTGTAAACATTGGAAGTAACCAGTTCAACGAATGGATTCTACCCAATGCCTTTTGCTATGGACAATCTGTCGATCTGAACTTCAAAAGTGGATTATTCGTCTTGTTTTCTTCTAATGGAGTAAAAACTTTAGTTCAAACTTTTAGGAAACTCGACGATGATGTCACAACTTTGGCACCAACCTCGGAACAAACAAAAATTCGACTAAAAACTTGGAAACCCACAAATAAAGGGTTGACGACAACAGTCAATCAATTGAGCACAATGGCATCGGTGGGTTTTCCAATACAAACACCTTTACCCGTTCCCCAGAATACAACTTTTGAAGCATTTTCAGTATCACAGACATCCCACACTACGACTAGTCTGACCGCTACATATTCAACCCTTTTAAAGACGAACCCCACAACTTCCCAACCGCGGAGGAATATAAAGTTTCCAGGAGTAGAACTATATACAACAGATAACACGAAGTCCAATGTTTCCAGTTATTTTTTTATCATCTCTAATTTTTGCGGCAAGATACAAATCTGCATTAAATTTGGGGATGGTGTAGAAAAAACATTAAATAATTTTTCTCAAAGCAGAACCATTTCTCATGTCTACAACAGGACAGGAAACATGACGATTAAACTCAGTGTGTTTCATAGAAACAAACAAGAACTGACCATTTCCCGCTCTATTATGGTTCTTGATCATCATTGCTTTCAAGCCACACCGATGTTTGACATTCGGAATTCTGTACCATCCAATCCTTTAACGGTTTTCCTGTTCTCTGACATCATTATTAAAAGTAGAAAACAATACGATCATCAGTCAGATAGATGTAGAACCGAACATACGGATCATTTGACCTACTTCTGGAAAGTTACTAACACCGAGACAGGCGAGGAAACAAAGTCCAGGAGAGACCAACTCCCTCTGATATCACACACCCCGGGTTTGTTTAAAGTTTCCCTCACAATACAGGTTGGGCAGTTTTCCACAACTGGAATTCTTTATATAAAGTTTATCTTTGAACATCAGATGAATTTTCACAGAAGTGTTCTCTGTCAGTTTGTGAATAATTCCACCAGTATGGTGAATATCAATGTGGATGCTGAGATTCTGCCTGTCTGGGGTGAAAATATTTCATATTCCTGGAGGGTTGTAAGGTAGGTAATCACAAAACATAACGTTTAATCACAAATATATATTGATTGAATTGATCATATAAGTGGGGATTTTCTCTTTCCCAAGCACTATGGGTAATGACAGACCATATTGTGTGTGTATAAAAATATAAATTGTGTGTCTTTGTTTGTTTGTTTGTTTTTTTTTTTAAAAACTAACCAATTTTAACCTTTTTCGGTATATAGCATCTTTGGCAACGAGTAAAGAAAACAAAAGTTTGTGAAAATGTATCCAGAGACCCAGGGGTTAGCACCAATAAAGTTAAAAATTTGATATTCAAAGGACACAATTGTTTACAGCTATTACCTATTATCCATTTTTCTTTGTGCAAGAAATGGCACATGGAATTAGAATTTAGATACCAGGACAGTGATTCTAAGAATGACACGACATAACTCAAGTATGAATCTTTAATAAAGGTTACATATATAGATCATATATAGATCGAAGTTTGTCCAGCAAGTTTCACCTCTACGGAGGAACATGTTATGTATAAATGAGGTGTTTTTTAAAGATTTTTTTTTTACCAAACTAATCATGTTTTGACAAGCATCTTTAAATTTGTGTTGAAATTAGAAATAATTTTTAAAAAGTAATTATTCGCAAACCCGATATTTTTTATTCCTCCAGGGGTGGTCAAAAATGTACAAAATTTCCAATTTTTCTAAGCCAGGTTTCGACTATAATTTATGGTTCTAAGCCAGGTTTCGACTATAATTTAAACTCAAAATTAAGATTTAAAAACATCTCTTTGGGTCTTTTCTTTTGTTAATGTCATGTGATCCTATGTGGCAAAACACGAAGATATTGGCGGTCTATATCCTGAAGCGTAGCGATTCTCAAGTGACCGTTCATGCCCATTTTGGGCCTATTTTTTTTTTTATTTGTTTACAGATACTCTAATCCTAACTTGATTCCTCAAGGATTTTCAGCTGCAAAATGGGTAAAATTGTACTACGTGAACTCTACAAAACTCACTCTCATTAACCCATTCCAAAGGATGGAGCGAGGACTTACAGAGATCGCCCTGAGGGTCAACTACACCTCATCAATAGAGTACATTAACCAGTTTGTGCTTGTTCATGACGGCGAACATGAATGCAACATTAAGTACGTGTTAAACTTCGTCACTTTAATTTCACACTGTACCTTTGTATGGTTTCACCTCTCAAGTGCGGGTTGGGGGCTTATTTTGTTACCTGAGTCCGTCGGCTTCGCTTTGATTTAGTTTCCGTGCCTTAAAGTTGCAACAGATTGACTTTGGATGTTCTTAATGTCCTTCAATTTACTAAATTTAGAAATTGGCAGTGCAATCTTGTTCGTCTCATGGCTAATTTACGGCAAAGTGAGAACAACAACGTTTAATATTCAAGTAAAATGAAAAAGGTGAAGATAGCGCATGTTATCGATCTCAAAAAATATATATATAAACAATACAAATCTGTGAAAAGGGAATAAAAAACGAACCCCTTGAAATTCCAGAGGCAGGATCAGGTGCCTAGGAGGAGTTAGCATGCTCTATTGACTGATCACACCCGCCGTGAGCCCTTTGTATTGATTAGGTAGACAGAACATTTCGTAGTCAAATTCAGTATAAAAACAAAGGCCTTTATTTTTTTTTTTTTATTTCATTTCATTTTATTCAGGGAAAAATATCACAGAATGCCATGATTACATACATATGAAACATATCTGATAGAAAAAAAGACATTATCTAAGGACTATGCTGCTTGATAAAGATCATATATACATGTATATATAATATTACATTCAGTGTAATTTCCTTTATGAAATCCTTTTGGAAATCTGAAACATTTAAAGCCCTATAATACCCATGAAACCTTGTTACTGCGCGATAGAATACACGATAGGAACTACATACATTTTCAATACACTAGGAACACAAAAGTGAATGTTTGCTAGCGCGCACTATTCAACTTGTCGACAGGACCAGGTGCTGTCATACGACGGACGACCCCCCCCCCCCCCCAAAAAAAAAAAAGATTCAATGTTTAACATCTCAAAATCTGATTAATTTCCTCCACGATGTCAATCCTGAGAGCCTAATCAGCTTAGATCAATATACTTTGATAAGGATATTTTGATTGAGTTTTGATTTTAATTGCATTTTCAGAAAATAGTGTTCAAATTTACACACACTCACACATAATTTTACACACACACACACACACACACACACACACACACACACATATATATATATATATATATATATATATATATATATATATATATATATATATATATATATATATATATATGACATGACATGTAAACATGACATGGGGAGGGTTGTAGCCCAATGGCCTTGGATGCTTGTTATACTTTTTTTTTCTTTCTAGATACTACTGCGTGAAAAATTGCGAAATTAGAACCAGTTTATCAAAGAAGTACGTAGCTAGGATGAATAGCATGAATAAAAACTGCATTGCAACAGCAAAATTACATGGAGTATATGACGTGTCAGATACCAGAGACAATAAATCTTTATTACAAATGATCAAAGGATATCCATTGATCAACGGAACAAGCTTAATGCACATAGGTAAAATCTCGTAAACCTGTTTTGAAAATAATTTAAATGAAATAATAAGTCATAGAATTATACTTTTGTTCAATGTTTTAAAAATAATTTATATGAAATTTATTATGGCTATGGACTTTAAAAAATAGAGGCTCTTAAATGTGTTTTAGATGGTTTTTCAAGAATAACTGTCTTTTTTCGGGGTATTTGATCGGAAGAATGACTATGCATATTAAAAAGTTCAGGAAGGCGGAAAATGTGACAGACCATACAAGGATTCGAAATTGGGTATCATTATCTCAAGACAATTGTTCTACCAACTAGGCTATCTGGCTACCGGCGAAAGAATTAAAGGAAGCAAAGCCATGTTTTATATTCAGAAATCCTTGTCATATCATATGTAGAAGAAAGGGAGAAAATGCGAGGAACCAGACCAGGCATCAAACCCAGACCCCCTAAATCTAGACACTTGCAAAACTGATGAGGTTTCTTGCAATCGGAGGTTAAACCATGACTAAATGAAAATTTATTGTGTTCAGGGGAAAAAGGCAGTAATTGTAGTTATGCAAATGGAAAACCTAAATAAAAAAAAGACTTTCCATATCTGAAATGCTATGGCATGAATATTACCTTTATTTTATTTTTATATACATTTATTATTTTTTGTAGACCGGCATCATCTTATTGTACAGACAAATCGTCTTGCAGCCGGCAAGCGTTATATCCTGAAAATGACTACAGGTGACGTTCCTTGGCTTATTCATCTTCATATGAACAGCCCACCGACGGGAGGTTGCTGTGAAGTTATGCCCAAAGAGGGCAAGTTTTTTTTAGATTTGATATACATATGATATATATAAAGTGCTAGAGGTGCTTTGGTCTGAGTATGATTGTATCTCAAATTTGTGTGTGTGTCTGTTGTGTATCGCTTCTCTTAAAAAGAGGAAACAACGCATAATTAATTATTCTAATCTATCATTGTTAAAGCAGTCTCAGTTCGTTATCTTCATATATTTCATTGTAATGAATATACTACTTTACTGCGTCAGGTTTAGTGCTTCAGACAGAGTTTATGGTAGTTTGTAGGGACTGGCGAACGGGGGCGGAGGATTATAACACACCTCACCAACAAACAAAAGTCCCCCTGCTGTATACAGTCCGCTATAGAACATCCAGTAGTGATCAAGTGACGGTGTACCAAGGCTGTAGGTGTTTTCATAATTTCTGTAATTAAATATCATAAGAACAACAATTTTTAATGTTTCATTTCAAAGTATTTATTGTTTAAGATGAAGCGTCAACCCCGTCCTTTATGTTACCCTCGGGCGCTGCCTCCCAAGGTTACCGAGTCACAGTAGAGGTGGAAGTGGAGGACAGATTTGGCGACAAAACACAAACGAATGTAACCGTAACTGTCAAGGTATTCCAATGCTAAATAAATGTAACAAAATGTTACAAATATAAAAAATTATCGTTACGTATTACAGTCTGAGATGTAACAATGTAATTGTATATGTCAAGGTATGAACTTACCCAGCAATATGAAATAGACTGTATTAATGATATCTTTCAAGATATTCCAGTACTAGGCAAGATGTAACATTTTATTTTATCTTTAACATTACACATCATGTAATGAAAAAGGTGGAGCTTACAGTGATTAGTCTCAACAATTAATATCATTAAATATAATCATATAATATCATTTAATATACTTTAAAGAAGTAAAGAAAGAGTTTTGGAAGAACATTTACCGATACTTGATTCTGAAATGTATCTTTGTTAATTTCTAAAGGATTTTACGAGGTTTTTGAATCCAGCATAGATACGGTAACTCTGTAATTCGCCTCAGTTGACTGTGATGTTTAATGTATTTGAAAACGGATGAAACGTGACTTTGAAGAAGCTCTTCTTTTGGAAAGGAAATATGAGTACTACGGCCGGTCGACAGGGGATGCTTACTCCTTCATGGCAACTTATCCAACCTTTGTTTTAGAAGTCCATGTTTGCTTTGCTGACAAGTTGTATTGTTTAAATGGACCTTAGAGCAAGATTACTGTTTGTAATCTTTATATTTCATTTAACCACCCAAAGGCATATCTCCTCGTGGACAGTCTGTCACTTGTCGTTCGATACTTATTCATTCATAAATAGTACAAATAATAACGAAATTATACTGGTTGACGCCTCGCCATGTATAAAAAAACGTCACTCTTTTAAGTCTGTAAGGGACATTCAGTTGTTGTCCTTCGGACCATCCTTCGGGATATTAAACATATGTCATAGATAACCAACAATTCGTACAAAAAAAAAAGTGAATGAATGTAAAGTTTTCATTAGAGTTGTATTTGAAGAATCTTTTTCGGGATTATGTCGTCTTATTCTAAATATTCTGCCAAAAACTGTAAAACCTGTAGCGTTTTGCTTATAAGGTGTTATTTAATGGTTCTTACTGACAAAGTTTTAATACCAAACCGTGGGAAACCTGAACTGCAAATCTTCTAACGTTGTCAACGGAAAACAATTTACCCTCTGAGGATTTATTTATGTCTTCCCCACAACCGCATAAATTTACCTGATCATTCTGTCTTGTCAATGAAAATTAAAAATAATTAAAAGTACATCTTTCCTTAGACGACGAGAAGAATACTTGACAAGGAAACTAGGCACTGTTTTTCTATATGGTTGCAATGATAATATAGATAGTGAGGGGAATCTTTCAAGTCCACATTGTAGCTATATGAATGTGAAAGAACTTTTCAACAATACACAGAGACGTACAAGCGTAGTCATGGCCATCGGTCTTACAATAAATCTAATACACACGATATATCTCTTTTGATTCACGAATATGTTACGTAAATAAATAGACAGATCTTCATCACATCCGCACCAAACTTTACTCCGTCCCTTTGAAAGTTTAAGTGGTCTATTTGAAACAGCCATTCATGGTTGGATTCTTCGACACCAGAGTACGGGATGGGATCTGGGATTATGGATATGCTAATCCAGGCTTTTTAAATCGCAACGATTTATGGAAGAGAACACTTCTCAAGTAACCCGTTTCTTCTTTAAACTTAAATGTGCCATTAAAGGAATAGGCGCAATTAAACCATTTAATGCAATTCTTAATCATGAAAAGGTCCAGTCTTATATTCCACCATGTTTCAAGTTGAAGTCCACACCTTGTATTTCTTACAAATATTCATCGACCATTGCTTCCAAACTTTTTACTTACAAAATCTAACAGAGCCTAGATATCGGCCATCTGAAACAAAATCCTCCTACGTATTTATGTTCTTCATGTCATTACTGGTGAATATCATTAACTATGAGGACCTTAATTCACTTATTTTAAAAGAATTGAAATTTACAGAACCCAGATCTTTCAATTGGCGACAGAATTTTATAATTATAATAAATTCTGTCGGAAATTATGCCAGACGATGGGTTAATTATGAAGAAGACCCTGACACTGTTTTCAGAATGGATAAAAAGTAAAAGGTGGATGTTAAAATCTGTAAAAACGATTGAGGGACAGTATGAGAACCATCTGTCCTTATGTATTCAATAATTCAGAAGTGGCTAAAGAATTATCCAGATAACATAACAATTGTAGGTACTGGTCCCAGCTGACATTATCTTTGTTTGTAAGGTGCATTACCAAAATATTTTGAATTACCATTCTATATTGGATTAGAAAAAATTTATAAAATTCCTTACAGAGATATAGCGGGATCAAGTGAATGTTCTATCAAGCCTTTCTTTCCTCCCCACAAAAATATTAACAGCAGTGAAGGAAAAACTTCTGCAGTACTGTGAAACAACATATTCGAGAAGTGGTGTTCATCAGATGTTGATACCTTAAAAACCCCAAAGAACTCTTAGAAAATTTGAAATCACATTTTTTTTTTCTAAAGCGATAGCATCGAACGTATGAATTCTTACGAATGAAGTCAATATTTTTGCAAATTCTATGGTCGATACAATGACCTTGTTTGAAAATATACTCTTTCGTTAGGTCGAATGTTACCAAAAGTCTTTCATACAAATTGTTGGGCCATTATTTTCATACTGAATTTACTTCGGATTTTCCTGTTTACCTGATAATGACATAGAACACACGGCGGGTGTGACAGGTCGACAGAGATTACTTTCTCCTCCATGGTACCTGATCCCATTTCTGTTTTTAGAGGTCCATGTTGGCTCTACTCACAATTTTTATTGCTTCAGTGGACTTTGAGCATGATGGTCGTTACCTTAATATTCAACATCTATTCTAAAAAGTGTTGACGTTGATGTTTTCCCTTTCGTATTCAACCCAAGTTTGGTATACCCCTTTTAGTACCCATATATAAGGTATAGTCAGAGATGTCACTCTTGTGTTGACATATACTCCAGAGCTCCGAAAACATTAAATATTTAAGATATAATACCCGAGTCGAAGGAAATGCTGGAGAATATACCCCTTAGTCTCGAGATTTTGTTGGCAAATAAAAACCTAGCCCAAAGGGCGAGGTTTTTATTTGCCAACAAAATCTCGAGACTAAGGGGTATATTCTCTAACAATTCTGACGAATCTGTTGAAAATAGCTCGTTTTGGACGTCAAATGTAAAAATATGATGCAAGATATACAAAATAGATGGTAACTGTCTTGAAATATAAAAGGGTTGAAAACATGGAGGGCTCGGCAGGCCTCGTTCTCTATCACGTTTTCTTATCCTCGCTTAAATATCGCTTATATTTCAAGACAGTAACCATGTATTTTATATTTATCCTGCAACCACCCCTTGCATTGACCTAATAAAGATAACCTAATAAACCAAAGATTAATTCGGTCAATGCCCTAAAGCCTCGAGCTGACCTATTGACCTTTCGATGCCGGACTACTTTGTTTACTTAGCGACAAAATGGACGCTGACGCCTTTGACCTCCAGTTTGACGTAAACAATGATGAAGAGGTGGATCAAAACACTTTAAGCGACACGCATGACGAAGGTTTGGCCCCTCCTGTACCACCCGAATTAATTCCCATCCTTGATATTTCTTTCGATGAAAATTTATCTGATATTTTGAATGACTTGGAACAAAATCCGTCTGCAGAAATTTCAGAATCAGCAAGGCCTACCGTACAAACTGAAGTCCGAGTCAACAATGACCCTCAGTTTATTGATTTGAAATTTAACGATGTTGAAACTTTCATAACTAATCAAGAAAACTCAAACACAATTAAGAAAACTCTAAAAGATGTGAATCTTGTCAGAAAATTCCTCAAAATGAAAACCGCGATTTGAATGAAATTCCGTGTGACGAATTGGATCAGCTTTTAGCAATGTTTGTGTTGTCAGTAAGAAAGAAAAACTGACGGTCAAGAATACGAACCAAGTTCTCTCAGATCTATAATAAGTAGTTTGGACAGAAAACTAGGACGACAAAAATATGTGCATAAAATCATGGATAGTCAAGACGATTCCTTTCGTTTGACTCGCGACGCCCTAAAAGCAAAACAAAAAAATCTGAAAAAACAAGGTAAAGGCAATAAACCAAGCAAAGCTGAGGCAATTTCAGACGAAGAAATAAACATATTATATGAAAAGAAAATCCTTGGTAATGAAACCCCCGAGTCCCTCTTGTATACTCTCTGGTTCAATAACTCTATTCATTTCGGACTACGAGGAGTGAGCGAACACTATAATTTACGCTGGAGGGATATTAAACTCAAAGTATCATCAGATGGGACAGAATATTTAGAGTATAATGAAAGGCAAACCAAAACACGAACAGGCGACAATATTGTTGACATACGCCAGGTCAAACCCAAAATGTTTTCTTCTGGGGATATAAGAGATCCTGTTCAATCTTACAAACTGTACTCGGCCAAAAGACCTCTTGGATTTTCTTCGGATGAAGACCCTTTCTATCTTTCAAAACGCACTATTCCTCTAGATGACCCCAGAAGTGATAAATGGTATTTAAAACAAAAAGTTGGGGAGAAAAAGCTCGCATCCTTCATGAAAGAAATGGCTGTTAAAGCCAACTTTACAGGGAAAAAACTAACAAACCACAGCGCGAGAAAGCATCTTATTCAAAAGCTCCGTGATTTGAATGTCCCACCAACAGATAAAATGCAAATAAGTGGACATAAAAATGTACAATCTGTCTTAAACTACAGCTCTATTACCGAAAATCAACAGAGAAAATACTCACACATTTTGAGCAGCACTTCAGTTGATCCCAGGCCTAATCCTACATGTACGAGTAATTCACAATTTATACAAAACAATGCAACTGAAAATTTCAATTTACAAGTGTCGGAAGCCTCTTCATTCAGCCAGATGAATTCCATGTTTTTGGGGCGACACTTCACATCCAGAATTTAAACATTTACACTGGACATCAATCATAAATTCACAATAATTTAACTTTCGCCACTTTGTTTTCCTGCGGTTTTGACACTGTTACAAATTTACGTCATTTGTTTACAATCTACTTCAAAATTACATTCGTCGATTATTGCTAATTCAAATAAAATTTTGATGATATTTTATTTAATAAATATCTCAGTCAATCATCAATTTTATCTTTGTGCTTCGTTTTACTACATTTTTTACAATCTGTGTAGACTTACGTTATTATGCGGAAGGATAAATGTTTCACGCTTCAACCTAGCGGTGATGCGAGCTCAGCGCAATAATATAACGAACACGCAAAATACTTTGAATTTTACTTTTTTACCAATTTATTATTTGAAAAAAGTTGCAGGATAAACAAAATACATGATAACTGTCTTGAAATATAAGCGATATTTGGGCTCGGGTCGAAAACGTGATAGAGGGCTCGGCAAGCCTCGCCCTCTATCACGTTTTCTTACCCTCGCCCAAATATCGCTTATATTCCAAGACAGTAACCATGTATTTTATATTTATAGAGAAATGCAGAAGCTAGATTTCGACGTCATCGTAAGTGTCTTTTGACGTCACAATTAAATGCTATCCTCGTTCATTTTTTTTTCTCAAAGATTAGATAAAGAGCGTTGTAATCCTAACCCAAAGTAAATTTTTTCCCACGAATTTGCGTCACAATCAAAGGATACATCTATCCTTTTCCTAGTGAAGGCAGTCACAATTAGAGGAAATCGATTGTTGATGACATTTGTGATTTATTGGAGAATAATGGTGGCGGCACCTCTTTGATCTTTGCGATAACCGTAGTAGAATTTAAAAAACGCCTTGTTATATTGTTTTTCTTCTGAAGTCACTATGATTTGTTTGATCAAACATCGAATGTTTTAATGTTGTAGGCAGGAGACGATAATTATAACAGAGAAACCTATATTGATACTTTATGCCGGAACCTTCTAACCAAACTTAAGTACAGCCAGAATCCTGATACCCAGATGCATGCCATCCATATTACAGCCAACGAGCTCAGCAGAGTACAGTTCAATGTAAGATTTGAACACACAAGTTATAATACAGACTTTTTCTCCTTTTGCTCCATCAGATTCTTCGGTATTATTGTTCTGTAATCGTCTTTCTCTAGATTGTCTATGCTGACAGTGCTTTTCTATGTTGCAGGACTCTTTTCCTAACATCAATGTCTCAGGGTTAATGAATGCAGACATTTCAGATCTGAGAGCGATGTTGGCTTTTGCCAACTCGTCCATTTTAAAGAAATTACAACAGGTAAAATAAGGAACAAGTATAGAACTTAATCTGCAAGTAGAAGAACCAAAAGCTTGTTTTCATTCTTATTTTCTTCAGGGAACTAACATTCTATCCGAGTCCACTCTCAATTGGATATCTAAGTTTTCTTTGGGATCTCCACATTATGAACAAAGCATGCTTTCCGATAAAGAAGCATGTCACATGTTGCTTTTGTCCATGGACAGCATGCACATCTACACAAAGAATCCGGAGATCACAACACCCAAATCTATAGTAAGTATATCATCGTCGAATGGGTTTGAACACATTGGTGAATCTGTTACCAATCCATAGAAAATTTCCTGTTGTCTAAAGAATTTACATGTTACACGTTTCTGGAGGAATACAATGCTTGATATTACATGTAACATAACTGAACAGATAACCACTGTGGATGCACTGAGAGTGCTGCTTTCTGATGACAGCCTGCCAAGAAGTCTCCTCAGAGACAAGGACAAAGCCATACAGGCCATCACTGGTATAGTATTGATCAAAGGAAGAAACATTTTGCATATTTGATTTTGAATCCCCCTTCTCTCTCTCTCTTATATGCTGTTTTGTAATTGTATAGGTCTGCTGAAAATCGTTGACACAGTATTACTGAGTAGTTACTATCATTACACGGACGATTTGGATGAACTAATGACCTTGAATAAAGAAGAGCTAATTCAGGTGGAGAATGTTTCCACAACTTTTGTAAGAAAACGGTTAATTAAAGATTACATGCTATCGGAGAAATATCAAACAACCAAGAGGATGAAAATGGTTAGTGACGCCAAACAATCTTAATTAATTAAGTGATATTATGTACGTGGCGCATAGTAAAGGTAATGTCGTCCGCAAATTTTTTTTTTAAATTTTTTAGCTAGAGTCCTTCGCCTCCATTTTGATGAAGTCATTGGATGCGATAGAAAAGGCAATGACCACCGCTGAAACAGGGAGGAAACTATCGGTGAACCGTACATTAGTCTCTGTTGTGGTGGAGAGGATCGAACCTTTGTCATTTAAGGATTACTCCGCCACAGTTGGTGGGATTAATGTAGAACTGCAAGCGGAAGGAAATCAACACAATGACGTCAATATTTTGGTAAGAATTCTTGCTTCATAGGTTGTTCGAAAACTGTTCAATCTAGATTATCAACCACGTGACACATAACTCTATTCATGATTCAACATTCAAAATTCCAGATTGCAGCATTCAAAAGATCTCCGTTCCCAGTTTTGAATGACACTTCATATGGTTGGTCTGAAGTCCTGGTATTGAAAGGTAATTTTTCCTGCAATATCACAGCCCGTCTGCGGAACAGGAATGTAGACAACTTGCATAAAAGTTGGTTTTTCCTTCACTCTAATATGACCTTTTACCAAGAATTTGCTGTGAGCATGAATGACCTCACGATTATTCACTTGGAACCGGAAAACCTCACGGATTTTACAGATTGGGAACTTTACATAAAAGGAGGAGCCCGTCCAACTGAGGTAAACTTCGACATCAAATTGGATATTGGAAAACATCAGACCAGCTTTAAAGTCCCTTCTGGAATAATCTCGCACACCAAAGGATACTTAATGCTTAAAAAGAAAGGTATCTCGCTATGTCCTCTTTTTTTTCATTTTTCAATCAAATATAAAGCTGTGTTCAATGTTATTAATATGTTAAAATTTGTTAGAAAAAGAGGATAGAAGACGCAAGGCTAGGGATGCTGTTGAGACCAGAATTAAAAATAATGCCGAGAAAGGTGTCATTCTGGCTACGATTGATGTACAGGTCTTCACTATGGGTTGTCGGGCCAGGTCATTCACGTCAGCATCGTGGATCACAGGCGGATGCAAGGTTTAATATTAAATACCGATTTCAGAGATTAAGATTTCAATATAGTGTAACAAACCTTTTTTTTTTTAAATTGTTAGATTGGAGATGAATCATCAATCGAGACTACCGTCTGCCACTGTCCACACACTTCCGGTCAGCAGAGCGCTTTCACATCCACTTTCTACGTTCAACCGAACCTGATTGATCGCGTCGACTTCTCAGACTTTGACGTCGACAACGCTGCAGTGTATGGGACGTTGATTGTGATGTTGTGTCTTTATATTATCCTGGTCATTATACTCCGAAAACAGGATTATAAAGACGCCCTGAAGGTATAAATCCTCTTAGCAATTATTCCAAGATTTTAATGCCACTAACTTTTAAAAAAAAATTTAAATCCTAAGTCCAATGTACTCGTACACTTGTTTTCAATGTAAAATGAGGCTGCTGATGGGTGTTAACAAATTTTTAGTTTCTCCATTGCCGGAGTTCTGATCACATTTTATCTGTAGTCCGTCTTTTTGTAAACTTTTCACATTTTCGACTTCTTCTCCTGAAGCAATGGTCCAATTTCAACCATACTTGCCACAAAGCATCCTTGGGTGAAAGGAAATCAAGTTTGTTCAAATAAAGTTCCACTCCCCTTTTCAAGGGGAAATAATTAAGAAATAGTGAAAATTTGGTGGTATCTTCTCAAGGACCACTGGGCCAAAAAATAGAAACTTATGTAAAACCTTCCTTACATAGTGGGGATTCAAGTTTATTCAAATCATGACCCCTGAGGGAAGGATGGGGCCAAAATGAAGGATCAACGTTTAACATAGGAAATGCATAGGAAAAATCTTAAAAATTCTTCTTCTCATGAACAGCAAATCCATGATTGGTCATATTTATATCGAAGCATCCTCAAGTAGTGTAGATTCAAGTTTGTTCAAATCATGACCCCGAGGATAGGGTGGGGCCACAATGGACGATTAACGTTTTACACAGGACTACATAGGAAGAATCTTCTTCTCAAGAACAGCAAAACCATGATTAGTCATATTTTTATGGAAGCATCCTCCAGAAATGGAGATTTAAATTTCATCAAATCATGATCCCCGGGAATAGGGTGGGGCCACAATGAACAAACAAAGTTTTACATAAGAAAAATCTGTAAAAATCTTCTCGTGAACAGCAAAGCCATGATTGGTCATATTCATACGGAAGCATCATCAGGTAGTAAAGATTCAAGATTATTTAAATCATCAACCGCTGGGGATCGGGCCGGGCCACAATAAAAGATAAAACGTGTAGGGAAAAAATCTAAAAGCCATGATTAGTATAAAGAAATATGGAAGCATCCTTAATTAGTTTAGATTTAAGTTTGTTCAAATCTTGCCCCCCCCCCCTTTTTATGGGTAGGTAGGGACCACTTATAAATGTAATGTCCTTTTCAATACTGATTTCCTACCCAAAGTGCTCAAGTGAGCGATGTGGCCCATGGGCCTCTTGTTCTAATTACAATAATCTATTAAACGTATTTGAATACAGTTTTAGCATTTAACTCCATTGGAAATCTTCTTTCAGTGGGCCCCTCAGTTCCTTTGTGATAATGGTGAGAATGACATCTACTTTTACATGATAACTGTATACACTGGCATGCGCAGAGGTGCCGCCACGATGTCAAACGTCAATTTCATTTTATCGGGAGAGGATGAAGATTCTGGGATACGAATATTGAGCGGAAGTTCTCACTCTGCAAGTTTTAATCAAATCTCGGAAAATCTTAATCACCAAATAATAATTTTCTTACAATAATACCTTTAGGAATACTTTATTCCTCAAAAAACTCGACTGTAAATGGAGTGTTTTTGCTATTGTATCTACAAAAAAGAAAATCAAAAGTTCGTAAAACTATAACCCAAATATCTCTGTCCCCTCTCCCTATGTACTTCGAGGTGAATGAAATATTCGAATATCAGCGGAATGTAACAACTGGATTATTTGGGTTAAGAAAAAATATCGTTTTATCATTTGAAGAAGTTTCAAATAGTATAAGCTTTCCTATCAAATATCCTGCTAAATTTTTAAGAAGGACACTTTCAAGCCGTTACGCACAGGTAAGGGAATTCCATTGCAAACATTTATTGACAAAGATGTACTTTGTTATTTTCCTAGGGTTTTGAAGCTGGATCTGTCCGTAGGTTTATTGCCAGTTCAAGATCAAATTTTGGGAGACTGAATTATCTCCGAATATGGCATGATAACTCAGGACCGGGCAATACAAAGTCCTGGTTCTTAAACAAAATAGTTGTAGATGATTTGCAAACAAAAGCAAGGTATGATATATTACATAAAATATGCATATACGGCGAGTTTTGTATTATTTTTTAATATGTTTACTTAATTGTAATTTATTGAAGATATATATTTCACTGTGGGAGATGGTTATCACTGGATCGTGATGACGGTAGAACAGAGAGGGTTCTTCCTGTCTGTACAATGGAGAATCTCAACAGCTTTAACACTCGGTTTTCGGAGCAGGCTCAACTCAATCTCACTGACAGTCATCTTCTCGTGTCTACCTTGATTCGTCCCGAGAGCAGCAACTTTTCCCGCGTCCAGAGAGGATCTTGTCTGTTTGTGCTTATGCTGCTGACAATGATCAGTCATGCCATGTACTTCAAAGAGAACGCTATTGTATCAGCAAGTCAAGTTAAGATCGGTAGTCTGGACTTTTCCTTGAAGGACCTCTACGTGTCTTTGATGGTAGCCTTGATCACTACTCCACCAATTTTATGCGCCTCGTTTGTGTTTAAAAAAACATCCAAATCTTCGTATCATTTAAGCAGAATCTCTTCAAGGAAACGATCAACAACATCGGAAAAGTACACTTCAACAGATACAGATGTGCCCATTAATGTAGACTTGACCTCAACATTTGATACAGAAGTGACTTTGTTCCCAAAATGGGTACTTTATTTCGCTTGGTTCCTACTGTTTGCTTCTGCTGCGGTTTCCTCTTTCTTTTTGATTTTGTACAGCATACAGTGGGGCAAAGAGAAGTCGACAAGATGGCTTATCAAGTTCATTTTGTCTTTCCTGGAGTCTATATTTATTGTGGATCCTGGAAAGGTACGAAGGGCTTTATTATGCCCCTGCCTTAAATTGGCTGGGACATATAGTGTTACTTTGTTCCGTCATTCCGTCATCATTCACTTTCCGTACATTATCTCTGCAACGGTTGCACACATTCAACTCAAATTTGACATATCAATACGTCTTAGAAATACGCATGTCAAGTTCAAATTTAGTCATGGTCCGATGATATCTTTCTTGAACTTAGGAAAAAAAAATAAGAAATTTTCAGTTTCCGCTCTCTAACTTTTGTAGGGTGTATGTATAAGGTTGAAATTGCATATGCAGACATTTTATCAGAAAATACAGGTCAAGTTTGAATTCGGCCATGGTCTGATGATTTTTGACAGAGATATCTCTCTTGAACTTAGGAAAAAACAAGAAATTTTCAGTTTCCGCTCTCTAACTTTTGTAGGGATGTATGTATAAGGTTGAAATTGCATATGCAGGCATGTTACCAGAAAATATAGGTCAAGTACTAGTTCGAATTTGGTCATGGTCTGATGATTTTTGACACAGTTATTCCTCTTGAATTTAGGAAAAAATAAGAAATTTTCAGTTTCCGCTCTCTACCTTTCTACAGATGCATGTATAAGGTTGAAATTGCATATGCAGGTACAGGTCAAGTTTGAATTTGGTCATGGTCCATTGATTTTTGACAGAGTAATCCCTCTTGAACTTAAAAATAAGAAATTTTCAGTTTCCGCTCTCTAACTTTTGTAGCGATGTGTGTATAAGATTAAGATTGCATATCTATGTATTTTTCCAGAAAATACAGGTCAAGTTTTAATTTGGTCATGATCCGATGATTTCTGACAGAGTTATCCCTCTTGAACTTAGAAAAAATAAGAAATTTTTAGTTTCCGCTCTCTAACTTTTGAAGTGATGTATGTATAAGGGTGAAATTGCATGTGCATTTATTTTACCAAAAAAAATAGAGGTCAAATTTGAATTTGGTCGTGGTCCGATGATTTTTGACAGAGTTATTCCTCTTGAACTTAAAAAAAAATAAGAAATTTTCTTGAAGGGTTGAGAATTGAAAGGTTGAAATTGCATATGCAGGCATTTTACCAGAAAATACGGGTCAAGTTCTAATACAAATTTAATGCTAAATATTGCATTTGAAATTTTGCCTGCTTGTGGGGGCATTCGTGGCGATAACGACACATCTAGTTTAGTTTAAAATCTTTTTAAACTATAATTTGAATTTTTAAAAGACTTTTAACGACACATCTAATTTAGTTTAAAATCTTTTTAAACTATAATTTGAATTTTTAAAAGACTTTAATATCCTTTTAACAGATCATTTTGATGGCCTTGATGGTTGCGCTGTTTTTAAAAAACAAAGAAACGCAATACAAATTGAATGTCGATGTCCACCATCTTCGTCGTTTGGCAAAAGTCTTCTACAGCAATTACAGTGGATCTTTAAATGGTTATCCTGTTTACCATTAGCAATTTTTTAATTTAAAAATGAAGCATTCTTTTTTTTTTTGTTTACTGTTTTTGTTGTTGTTGTTGTTTTTTGTTTTTATTTTTTTTGTCAATCGTTTTAAGTCCATGATGAAATGAACATTGTATTGCCTTTATAATTAAGTAATGAGAAGACAGATCCTGGGTAAACACGAGCCAGCTTTACCTCACGATGTTGAAAACTTTAAGAACAGACGTCAACAGGAAGTCAGGGCCAGGGGTGTGTTTATAGAACTTCTTACATATGGAGTCTTTGCTTTCATTATGTTCAGCATTAGTTATATCCACAAAGACCAGAGGTCATTTCTACTGAAGCAAAACGTCCATAATATACTTGTCAAGGACCCTGTATCCTACAACAAATTTGCAAACGTAAGGAAATACTATATATTAGTATGAAAATCGCCTAAAATTTATTTGAAACGTTGTTCATAGTTATTCTTATATTTCTTTTTCTTAAATGTCTGATGTCATTCAATTATATTTAGGTTAATAAGACAATTGACTACTTTAACTGGTTAAATAACACGGTTGTACCGCATCTCTATCCATCACGTGACTGGAGTAACAACTCCTTTCCTTCCGCTCCCTGGGTAGGGGACCTCGTCAATATCAGAGTGGGTACCGCCAAACTACGACAAGTTAGAGTCACGGAGGGTAGGAAATATCCTATTTTATAGCATTAATTTAAATATTTCTTCACTTATCCGTTTGTATAAAGGAGGCAGTGTCAAAATAGTAGGTATGTATTTTATTCCATAAATTAGAATTATTGAAAATTATTTGAATAATTTGTAGTGGGGCTTAAATCTGTCATTTAATTTCAGAGCCTTGTATTTCATACATATTTCATATTGTTCGCCCATGCATACGAGAATACCAAGATAAAAATATTGAAACCCGAAATTTTTACCCGTATTGGAGACTCCAAAAGAGTTTGTCTCGAACACCACAGTCTCTCAGACGTGCTTGGAAATATTCATCTGAAGATGAAGGGATAGATGTTCCTGGTGAAATTCACATGTACAAACCTGGGGGCTACGTAATTATGTTGCCGAGGTCCTTGACAGAGGCACATGACCTTGTTAATCATTTGGTCGAGTACAGATGGGTGGATAGACATACTCGAGCCTTGTTCCTGGAACTCAACCTTTACAATCCTAACATAAACATCTTCACGTATGCCATGTTTATTGCCGAATTCATCGAGACAGGTGGGATTTTGCCCTGGTCCAACATCTGGGTTTTCAGGCCCAATGAGTTTACCGGTGCGCTAGGGACATATGCCCTCCTGTGTTATCTTGTTTTTCTAATATTCTTATGCTTGGGAACCTTCAGGGTCATAAAAGAATTATATCAAAGGCGACTGAAATTCCTAAAACAAATCTGGAACTTGGTTGACATGACCTGTATTGTTCTCAGTTATATTGGAATAGTCGTCTTTTCAATTCGTTTAGACAAAGCCAATGAAACCATACCAAAGGCCAAAGAATTGTCAAACGACACATTTGATGGTTTTCAGACTGTTTTCTTGTGGGACTTTGCTTTTAATTGTATTGTTGGCGTTCTGACCTTCATAACGACCTTAAGAATACTGAGAATTTTGGGGTACAACAGGCGTTTAACAGAGATTGTGAGAGTTATAACTAGTTCTGCGAGGGACTTAATCGGATTTGGCCTCGTCTTCAGCATAATATACAGCGCTTACGTCATATTTGGTTTTCTGATATATGGTACATCTTTGAGCGAATACAACACTGTGTTCAAATCTTTTGGAACTCTGACCAATTCCTTGATTGGGAAGAATCGCCTGGATATGATGATACACGTGGCCCCTGAAGCGGCTTCTTTCTTCTATTTTACGTACACATTTTGTGTCATTTTCACTTTGTTAACGATGTTCTCTGCCATTCTTAACTACAGCATCAGGAAAGTTCGCCATCAATCAAGGCAAAATCCCGAAACATACGGAATACTTGATATTCTTAGTTCCAGCATAAGTAATCTGTTTGGAATGGCGATGGCACTCCAGAGGAAGGAAAAAGCTAAAGAAAAATTCACTGCAAAAGGTAAAAATAAAGTTCTTCATATGCAAGTTGTATACCAGTTTTATTTTCGTGAGTTTAATTTGATACTTTTAAAATTTAAGGAGAAAAGAATTTGCGAAGCGAGAAGATAAATGCCTTTGGCATTGCTCAGTTAATCAGAGACATATTTGTTCAAAGTCTGGGAGAAGAATTCATGGTAAGTATTATCTTATTAAAACATAATATAAAGAAATAAACCCGCAAATTTCACTTTGGTTTATTTGCCTTTTATGGCTTTGGATTAAAGAGCTCAAGTTAACTTCAGAAAAGAAATCGGGATTCGTTTTAATTTTTACAAAAAAGGGGTATTTTTTCCGGTTGATAATTTTATTTAGTCTGCATGCATGCAGGTATTCGTACCTCATATATTTTGTTTTAGTCAATGCATTTAGTATACAAAAATAGGAGAAACATTTTCAAAGACAACTACGATGCAGCATGATATTGTCGACGCATTTTAAGTACGTTATCTCCAAATGTTATTTGATATCTTTCTTTTCTTGATTTTATTTTATTTTATTATTCATTTCATTGGAAATAAAAAAAAAGTCATTAGTGTAAATCACATATATTTTTTGACAATTGATAATTAGCCCTAAATTTAAAAAAAATAGCACTGAAACTGAAAGCAACGGAAGTGATCATTTCTAATTATGTAAAGTATAGAGGCGTCCCGGAATTGCACAGAAAGTCTAAAGAGAACAGTTTGGCGCGGTTTCTGACCTCTCTAGACTTTCTTTGCAATTCCAGGACGCCTCAATACTTTAAATAGTTAGAAATCATCACTTCCGTTGCTTTCAGTTTCAGTGCTAGGTATCGAGGACGTTTTTGGTTTACTGCATGCGTTTTAGACGGCAAGTGCAAATCGGCAGGCAATAGAAAGGGGTCATTCAATCATTTTTGAAGCTAGATCTCACCGGTAGGAAAAGTGTAGATGTTGAATAAAATCAAGCGTGAACCGAGGCACCCCCTGAAATCCAAGATGGCGAGTTGCGAACCTTGTGTATTTTTATATATTGAAATATGATATTTTTAAAAATGCTGTTCCAGCGAGTTTTGATTTTTATTTTAATAAGTGCATCTAGACAGACATAGAAGAACACACAATACACAAAATACACCATCCTGAAACCAAGCGCCTATGAACACAAATACTTCAAAGTTTAGTATCATTGAATGAAGTGTATTTGAACCATTAGACTGGAAAAAAGATCCATCTGCTGTAGATCTCCAAATTTTTGCGACACCTCATATTTGCAAGATTGTTACTAGGTAATTGTAATTAAAAAAAATCACAATTTTTATTATTGTTATGTATAATATTTTAATGACATTTTCGCGAGCAGAGGCCTAGCGTAATTATAATAATTTTCTCGGAAATAAAATGGGATTTACAGATATTTAAAAGTTGAGTGTAGTCTCCTTGATCCAACATCTAATACTTTAAACATTCCTTCTTTTAAACTGATTATTATGATTCAGTATTCACAGAGGTCAAGGCAAGAGTCTTTATTGACAACAATGACGGAACCATCGGATCTGAGAGTTAACCTGACGCCAGAATGTCTTAAAGGACAACGAAATGGTGACATCAGCAAACTCGAAAGAATCGGCACCCTGAGGGATATTCAAGTGTCACTTGATAAGAAAGAGGACAACCTAGTCCAGCGGAATCTTTATTATTTGTAGACTTCGTGAAATATTATTAGATCACTGTCTATTACATGTAAGCGTTGTTGATTCTTTACGATCAGCGCATGTACGCCTCCTTCTCAGATTTTACAAGAATCTTGGGAAACATTTAAATAAAAAAGGGAATTTAGTCTTGAATTTAAATCATTTACATATATTATATATAATATACGAGAGGAGAACAAGATTAATTTACGAAAAAGAGCCAAAATCTTATTTAAACTGCGCTCTAAGTTTCGGTAATTTAGCTCAAATATCAATGGCAGTATACTAAGTATGTCTTGTGGAGTTGACAGAAGTAAACTGAACATCTACATGTATATTCCTGTCAGTTAATTACAAGAATCTTGTTAGCTATTTGAATAATTATGGGTTACCTTTCCTGCACTCACTATCTTGGTACATGTATATAACTAGATTTTTTTTCCTTTAACTTTTTTCTTCATAAATATAAACTTCGTTCATATGTGTTTTACACATGAACAAGACATGGGGACCTTAAATCGTAACACAAAAACTTTGAGTGGAGGATTCAAAAGGACAGATACACTAGTGCGAAAATAAGAGAATTGGCCTCCAGTATAGAAGAAGAGCTTGCCTGTTGGAAAAATCCCTTGGAAAAAGTAATAAACCAGGAATGTCAACAGAATATGCTGAAATAAGTGAAGGTGTAGATAACTGATGTACCAACAGTAGAGGAAATAAAAACAGGCCATCAAACTTCTTAAGAAAGGCAAGGCCCCAGGGATCGATCAGGTACTTGCAGAAATGTTGAAAACTGAGGAAGTATTAACACCCAACCTTCTTACCGATATCCTGCAAACTATATGGCAGACAGAAACAGACCAGATGATTGGAAGGTTGGTCTCATATTGAAGCTGCCCAAGAAATGTGACTTAGCAGACACAAATAACTGGAGAGGAATTATATTGTTGTCAGTGACCAGCAAAGTCCTAAGCAGAGTCACCTTAAACAGAATGGCCTCATTGGTGGACCCATACCTTCGTAAAGAACAAGCTGGATTCAGAAAAGGAAAATCAGACCAGATACCAATATTCGCCTTGAGGCAAATTTTAGAACAGGAATGCAACGCTGTATGCCAATTTCATCGACTTCGCCAAAGCATTTGACAGTATACATCGTCCTGCTTTATGGAAGATCCTCACACATTACTGCATTCCTAATAAGATCATTTCTATCATTCAGATGCTTTACAAGGACTTAAAAGCAAAGGCGATATGGGGCACAGAACTCACAGACAGCTTTCCAATCCAAACGGGGTACGACAGGGCTGTCTGCTTTCACCACTGCTCTGTACTTTCTGCATAGACTGCCTTATGAAAATCACTACCAGTCAGGCTAATAGAGGAATATCCTGGACATTTCAACAGTCACTCGAAGATCTTGACATTGCAGATGACATCGCTTTACTAGCATAGCGACATAAGAATTTCGAGAGCAAAATTGATGTCCTAGACAAGTATTGCAGACTTTTTAGACTAAATATAAACGTAAACAAAAAAAAGTTAATGAAGATAATTACAAAGATAGATTTAAAAAAAAGTTATAGCAAACAACAACAGAATAGAAGAAGTAGACAATTTTATATATCTTGGCAGCAAGACCACAGCTAATGGAGAATCCTCCAAGGATGTTGAAAATAGAATAGCAAAAGCCCTTGCCACCTTTGAAAACCTACGGAACATCTGGAAATCTTCAATTATCAGAACCAAAACCAAAATAAGGATATTCAAAACTTATGTGCTCAAAGCACGAAGAGGATGTGTTTTAGTAAGAAATAAAGCCTGATCACAATTTGTTTTATAAATTTCTATTTTTGAGTATCCTTTGTCCTTAAATGAATTTGAGACATAAATTATAACACTGAATGAGCACACTCTTCACCAAGGTAGTTACAAAAAATAGGGTGATAAAGACGCCAAACAATGTGGTGTGCTGTGACATGATATAGTGCATGCTTTATATAGTGCTCAGCGAATTGATCGTTATTTTAGTCTCATTTCTGAAGCGTGATTAAAATGTCAGCTCCGATATTATAAGATATATTTTAGGAAAAACTTCTTATCTTGAAACCCATTCCATATTTAATGTAAAAACCGCCAAAACGTAACAAAGGTATGTAGAGATGTAAATGTCTGTTCTTGGGATTGAACTCGGGACTTCTGGCATCTGGCATGTCGGTTTAGTGTTCTTCCTGTAGACCTTATTTCTTAACCCACTAGTTCAAGCTAGTAAGAAGCTGTGCTCCCCACCCTATTACATTGTTTCCCTTCAGAAAAAAGGTGATGCTAAAACGCGGAATGGAAAGCGAAAGACATGACAAATATATGTCATACTAAAACGACATTAATTATATAAAAAAATTCATATTTGATCAAGGATTATAAATACGAGTTGATTTATTAATATTTATTCTCTTGTGAAGGTCTGAACATATGCATAGCATAGGAACAAGTAAAATATGTACGGGTGGAATAACTACTGAAATATATTCTGATGAATATAAATGACCTGTTTTATATTATTATATATAGGTTTATATTTACATTTCGTGTGATTTTCTATAAAAAATCTGTTGGAAATCTACAACATCCAATACCCTATAACACACGCCAAAGGTAGAATACACAGTAGGAATTATATGTATTTTCAGTATCCTAGGTACACCAAAATTGTTTGGGCTCAATTTAATTTTAAAAAAAAACCCAATTACCCTATTAAATTATTGTAAAAATAAAACAATTACGTTTAAAATTAATGTGTAATTTTTCCTTCGCAATTTTCATGTAACTTTCCACGTCACAGGTGCTAAATTCATAGTAAAGATTAACGAAATTAACAATTATGAAGAAAAAAATATAGAATATAAATTTGAGCATTAAATTCTTATTTTAGGATGTCGTCGGACTCCTCTATGGCACCTGATCCCACCTCTGATGTTTTAGAGGTCCGTCTTTGCTCTGTTCTTGATTTGTATTGTTTGAAATGGACTTGTGAGCTTGAATACTGTTCGTTTTTCATTTCATTTGTCCGAAGTCGCTAATAGTAAAACCACTTTTGCATCATTATAGAGATACTTTAGAATTGTATTAGGCTCCCTCTCCCAAAAAAGCCCTGTATTTGGAGAGGGCTACAATCTTACCTAATACTTTTTCGTAGTACATGTATTTATCAAATTTAGAAGCAAATGCTACAAAATTTATGCTAATTAAATGAAATTTATTGTTGAATTTTACACTAAAATCAGAGACTTGAATAAGATAAGTTTGAACCAGCTCAATGGTGGATCCCAAAAGTTGTGGTTTCAACACCCTTTTAGTTTTGAAAGAGATAAAAGGAGGTGAGAAAACTAGTAAAGAAAAATTGCTTGTCAATTATCCCAACCATCCCCATACAAAATATTTTGCATTTTAATAATAGACACTTTTGTCTAGGGAAAAAAGGGGTATGCTGTTGTTGTTCAAAAAACGTGGACCCACAGTTTTTTTTAAATAAATAAAGATGATTAAAAAAATCAGATGATTGATATTTAAAAGCAGTTAATTTCTTTTATGAGTAATATTTCTATTCTGCAATGTTAATACGAATACCAAAAAAATGCAATAAAGCAAAAATAAACAAAACTGAGTGTAAAACTTATGGGATGATACTATATTATTATAACTTGTCATAAATTATACTGTACTTATTCGAACTGGTGTGTGTACCACTGTACTTTAACAAAGGTGAAGTGTCACTATTCAGAAATTCAAGAACACTTGTATGTATTTGCCACTATTTTTAACTATTACTAGTAACGAAAATGATCGCTGTTCTCACGGAAAATTTTCTTCAGCCCTATTCAATTAACAAAGTGCACGAGGGTAAACTCAATTTTAACTTCATCTAAAATAATAAATAATTTATCTAGTTTTTAAAAGAATTTAGCTTATTAAATGAAATAAAAGGGTGAATTCGTACATATCTTGGTGATACAGATACAGATATAGATTTTTCTATTTATGTAACATAAACTGCAAAAAAGTGAACGATAAGCGTCTAATCATCAAATGACATAAAACTTCTGGAGAGCTGATAAATTACAGAACGAGGTCGTGCTTACGTCATCAGCGTGTGTGGCGCGCGGGAATCGCGCGGACAGATTCTCTAATATGTGAGCTATTGATATGTCAATCTTTATCGATGTCTGCCTCATACGTACAACTTGATTGGCTTTTAAAACTTGATTATCAGAACTGCATAACAAATTCATTTTTGGCAAAGGTATCACAGGTGAGTATTTGCTAAGTCGTTTCTATCAAATTATGTCGTTTAATGAAAACAGTTTTTCGAATTATAAAATAAATTTCACGGATGTCAGGATAATTGACCAGCTTTTGGTACATGTGCCGTCTTCTACTTCTGCCAGTAAATGGTTAATGTAGCGGTTTGCTAAGAGGAAAATTATCAGGTATATTAATAAGACTAGCCATTAATACTGGGCAGGCGTTTGAACCAATGTCTGTTTATATCGGATGGAAAACATTAATCCAGAAGTGAGAACATTAATAATGGGGATACACAGAGGAGGTTTTGGTGTATTGTTGATGGAGTCATATAGATTGTTTATAAATGTTTATTTAGGTAGTTGTGTTTCATGAGAAGGGGGCACATGGTATTGAAAAACTGCGATCAGTGAGACGGATATACATAACACAATATGAGATCAGAAACTGTTACAGGGAAGTGATTTGGAAGGTTTAGTCATTGTGATAACAATCCGTGGGACGATCAGTGTATAGCTCGCTTTCTTGGAACTCGTGTCCCCATTCGCGGACTGGAATCATGCATTTACCTACCCTGGGTATGACTTCACTTGTATTAAGTCTTCTGGTCCTAGCAGCAGTGGGTGTAGCGGCGCGCCGCAACAAGGTCCTTCTTGTGTCAATGGACGGGTTCCGATGGGATTACGTGAAAACTATCTCCACCCCTAATCT